ACGTCTGTTCCCGTCCCTCGATGTACTTCTTGCGTCAAAAAGGATGTACAATTGTTATTTCCTAGAACATCAATTTTTCATACCATCTAACGACTTGAGTGACCTTATCTACATTCTTTTCTGGTGTTTGCTTCCATCCACGTGGCAGCCTCTCGTCAGTCCGTTAGACCATGTCCCATCACCTCTTTCCCTCATATTTTTTCTTCGTTTATTTTACTATTAAATTTTATAATTACAAAAATAAAAAAAAATTTATTTGAAATATATATATTTGTCCAATTAATGCACAATTTTTAATATTACAAAATGACTTCAAAGTTATTCCTAATTGATTGATATTATTCATAATCGATTCTAAAATATTGTGATCAGTTAAGAATACCCTCACTCAGTTATTACTGCATTTGAAGTAGTAGTTTTACACTTAAAATGTATAACCTAATCTTTAAAATTTAAGACTTGTATAATCAATCATAACATTTTCTAATCGACCATCATCTATAGATTTGTAACTTACATATCAAAAAAATAAAACATGACTTTAAAAAAAGTAGTAACTTTCAATACAGTAGCTCAGCCTTCCTCTTCGGATACAAATTCACTACCACTGCAACACACCGTCGTTGTAACAAATGGAATGCCCCAACAAAGCCCAGGAAACGCAAAAATCTACGGTGGTTTAGAGTGTCATATTGCTTGCATCCAATATCACTGCTGACAACAGGCAAATTTAATTGAGAGTCTACCACAAGGATCAAGATCAAAGTGGCTTCTTTCATACTTTTTCTGTTTCTGAATTGCAACATCCAAAACCACTCAACTACCCTGACCAGGTGGAGGAAATTTTTAGGTAAAACACAACAAAATCATCTGTACAAAATTGTTGGGTTCTTCATACATGAATTCCTTTTATCCTAACAAAGTGAGATAACAATATAATCAACGATTTCTGATACCACTCAGACCATATATACCCAGCATGCATTCTCCTCCCCTTTGATGCACCCGAGCACTACCAAAGGAGGATATCAAAGAACAAGCCCATAAAATAAATGCAACAGCTAACCTATATTTGAACAAGTACAGTACACTCTGAACCAGATATCTCTATAATCCAATGCAGTAACTAAATCCATCACCTGACATATCTTGCAGTTACATTGAGTGCTGCATCATCGATCAAGCTGAGATTGGAAGTTTGGGTTTCCAAGTGCTTTTCACTGAATCAATTGAAAGAAACAGGCCTCATACACATTGCACATTGCGTAGCTGCACCCATCACTTCTGGAGGAACTCAGCATAGAGATGGTCCCAGTCGAAATGGAGCAGGAAGCCAACCCATAAGTTTTTGAGGCTGGCTTCGCAGGAGCTATTAGTTACACAAGTGGGCCCACAAACGTCGAAGCCAAATATATTATCCACTGAATTTATTAAGAGTATGAAGTTCAAATGCTGGCACCTGTGACAGGGGGCGGAGCCATAATTCCATTTCAGAGGGGGCAAACATGAACAAGAAAATACCAAACGATATAAAAAAGTTGAGTTTGAGCATGAGAAAAACTGGTTCTCTTCAAGATTAAATGATCATATTAAATCATAAAACCATAAAACCAGCATCAAAATGACATCAAAATGGAACAAAATGTTCACTCAAATCTCAACAATCATCTATAATTATTTGTATAATAATTTTCTTAGACATTTCTTTTCAAGGTATACAATTGGGGAGTCTGATAAAATCATCATTAATTTTATCGTGACACCTAATTGAAATAATCTTCCATCTTGTTAAAAATATTTTTTTGATTGTTGGAATAAATTCTAATCAAGATAAGTTAGATAGGTTGGCATTGGTGCTGGGATGTTTAGTGGGAGGGTGGTGTCTTAAGTACTTAGGTTTGCCTATAGGTGGTAACACGGTGTCTATCTCTTTTTGGGATCTGGTCATTCAGAAAGTTAAAAAAATGTTAGATGAGTGGAAAAAGACTTACATTTCTAGAGGAGGTAGAGTCACATTGGTTCAGTCTGTCCTGGCCAGTATTCCCATATATATTTTGTCTCTTTTCAAGATACCTTGCGGGGGTGGCAAATAGAATTGAGAGAATGATGAGAGATTTTTTATGAGAAGGAAAGGGGGGAGGGAAGAAATGATCACCTCATCTGTTGGGAGGTAGTGTTTAGGCAAAAAATAAAAGAGGGCCTTTCGGAGGAAAACTTTGTGGCTAGAAATGAGGCCTTGGTCGGTAAATAGCTTTGGAGATTTCCCTTGGAGCAAAATTCACTATGACATTTGGTTATTAAAGTAAGTATGACTTGCAAGCTAATGGGTGGGATGCTAATAAGGTTGATAAAGGAAGCTACCGTAATCCTTGAAAAATCATTTCTCAGGGGTTAACATGTTTTTCTCAAAGGGTCAAGTACAATATGGGCAATAGGTTGTGAGTTCATTTTTGGAAAGATATTTGGGTGGAGGAGTCTTCGTTCTCAAGTTCATTTCCCCGTTTATATAGACTTTCTTGTAATCATGATCATAGTGTTGCTTCTTTGCCAAGGTCAAATTCTAATCTAATTGCTTGAGACTTTGGTTTTCATAGAATTTAAATGATAGGGAGTCTTCGGAATTAGTTGTTCTTCTTTCCTTACTTAATTCTATCGCTTTGAATCAAGATTCTGTGGACAAGAGATGTTGGATCATTGACTCGTCGGGTTCTTTCTCATGTAAATCATATTTCGATTCTTTGATTGATGATTCTTCCATTCCTCTTTTTTTTTTTCTAACATTGAAAATTTAGTAGGGTGCAACTCGAGCGGGTTGGGTAAGTTGAGAGGTCAACCCTAGATTAACTCTAGGTATAATATCTTCAACCCTAACCCTACCTCAACCTGAGATACTTAACCTAAGTACTGTCCGAGTTTAATTCGGGAGGGCTCAAGTTGAATTCGGATTAAAAATTGGGTTGAGATTGAGTTACTTAATTCAGGTTGATTTTTTTAAGTGTAAATTTAATTTTTTCAAGTTATCTGAGATGAGAAACGAGGCACAGATGAAGAGAGATAGAGTGAGAGAGGGAGGAGTGATGAGTGAGAGAGAGATCTGAGAGTGATGGAAGCGCTGAGGTGAAAACTTAAAGTGAAGTGAAAGTCTGAACTCTGAAAAGTGAAGATAAATACTAATCCTAATTAAATATATTTATATATTTATGTATATTCGGGTTCAACCCAATTTTAATATTCGGGTTGAACCTGACAACCCGAGACCTCAACCCTAGGTTTACCCAAATTTAATTTGAGTTGAGATTTTTTTGTTTAGGCCCAACCCAAGTATTAAAAATTCTAACACAATCCCTATTTTTTTCCGAGTTGGATGGGTTCAATTCGGGTTGACCCACCCAAGTTGCACCCCTAAAATTTAAAAGGTTAAGGTGCATCTAAAAGTGCAAGTGTGCGCATGGGTGATTAATCATGTTAAGGTTAGTAACTATGATGTGCTACAAAGGAGGAGGCCTTACACTAATCTATGCCCACAATAGTGTTATAGGCTGAGAAAGTTGTGAGAGTGTGGACCATTTATTTTTACATTGTTCTACTGCTTTATTCCTTTGGAATAAGCTATTCGAGACGGTGAGGGCTTGTTGGGTTGGCCCACCATCAATATCCTCCATGTTTTTGATCGAATTTAAAAGGTTAAGTGGTGGTGAAAGGGATGTTGTTCTTTAGAATTGTACATTCTTTGCAATGGTTTTGGTCATTTGGTTGGAAAAAAATGCTAGAATTTTTAAAGATAAAGAAAATATGAAAAAAGGGTATCAAATTTATTTCCTTGTATCTTTTGGGAATCTATAACAAAGAAGTATGAAAGTATCCCTCTTTTTTCTATTATCTCAAGTTGGATGGTATCTTGTGGGAGATAATCTTGTATCTCTTGATGGCTGTTTTGTTTTTGTTTTATGTTCTCTTTATGAACCTATGGGAGTTGCACTATTTGTTCAACTATACTCGCTTTTTAAATTTTTAATTATCAATGAAAAGTTTATTTCTTATCAAAAAAATAATAATCTTCCATCTCATTGAGAAATTAATTTTTTGAAAAAAAAAATAGAAAACACTCTTTTGTATCAAGACATTTCACTATTTGCATCTAATTATGTTTTACTAGGTTCCGAATCATTCACTTACTGAAAAAGAGTTAGGAGCCACTTGATATTTTTCCCAAGAATAAAAGGGAAGTATTACCTTTGGAGGGTCAGACCATGTCACATTTGTTCACGTGGTTCAAAAATGAAATATTTGTTTTGTTGGATTGGGGGGCCAAAAATGAGCCACTAAGTTACTAAAAGAAAAAAGATCATGGCCATTATATAAATACTTAAATTTGTTTTGGAGGGGGCAAGTGCGCCCCCTCCTTCCCTCTCTCCCACCCAAAAAAAATCAACGCGGCTCTGCCACTGCCTGTAACAAAAAATTTGGATTAAAGAATCGAAAGGACTAAGTGGGGATTGAGAATGCCAATAAACAGGGCAGTAAATTTAAGAAAAGTGCTTCCAAACTAGAGTCAGTAAAAAAAAAAACTTATCTGTTTATTGTTTAAGCTAAAAACACATGCAAAAACTACTGATTCAAACGGTAAAAAACATTTGATTCTCAAAACAAAGGCAAGGAGATTCATGACAAGGAAGTTGTGGAATGGGCACATACGCTTGATCATGATTGTCTTCACTTATATAAGCTTGTGAGAAAGGAATAGACACTGTTTGACATCAGTTCAATCATGGGCAATTCCTCAGTTGTAACGTTATTCCTAGTTAATACATTCCTCATTATCACAAAAAAAAACCTGAAGCACAAATATGGATCTCTAAATGCAGCACAGCAATGTCCATGTAAGACCAGATAACTCAAAAAACATAGTTAAAGAAAGATTAAGAAGAAAGATTTGTGAGAAACAAACCTCTCTAATGCATTCCATTTTATGAACCTTTATGGTTTTGACAAGCAAGGTTTTATGCTTCATGGATATGCCTGGCAGCAATGACACCTTGTCTTTGGTCTTTTTCTGTGAAGGATTTTCTCTGTTCCTTTTCAATCTTGATCATAACAACAAAAATGAATTTCAGGAACTTCAATAAAACTTGGTGTATCTTGAGGGGCACAAAGCGTCACAAATCCCAATATAAATACCTGAGCCTCTAACTCTGCTATTCTCTGTAGAGATATTTGTTCAACAAAAGCACGACGCTTGCACTCTTCTTCAAGCAAACTTGTTATTTGGTACCTTAGCTCAACCATTTCTTGAGCTAAATCCTCTGCTTCTTCCTTTGCCTTTAGCTTTTCCTCACTCAATTCATCCTATTAACCATTCATATAATGTCTTTAAAAGCATTGAATGTCAAAATTATGCTATAGTTGGAATGAATTCCAGACATGATCATATTTACTACACAAAATGGTATCACATGATGTCTAACGTAACGCTTCCATGAAAGACCATAATACCTTAAGCTGCCTCACAAGAAGTTCATATTCATGCATTTGAAGTGACATTTTCTCCATATTCTCCTTCAAATCTGCATCAGATGCTCCTACAACCTTCAATCTTGTAAGTAGTGGACCCAGCACGTTGCCACAAGCACTTCTACAAAAATAAGCATAAGAGGAAATAAAGGAATTGTTTCCAAATATCAGTTTCAGGCAGGCACCTATTAGAATAGCCATATAGAAAGATTGTCAAGAACATATTAACTAGATGGTGTAAGGTCTCCTTGTAGCCACTGGGTCCGGAATTATCAGCCAAGGAAGTAGCAAAGTTCAGGTCTTAAAAGTTTATGAAAACCGAAGCCATGGATATCATTAGATGGAAAATATTGTAAATAGTTTGTGAAGATTAGCTTTCATATGTCACATTTGCATGATCTTACGCAAATAATTTCTTCATCACCTATAACCAATATAGAACATTTGAATTTTTACTAATAAAATCACATTAGGCAGCGTGCTTTCCAATCACTACCAGAGCAGGATGTCTTCACAATATTATGATGCACAAACCAAACATCCTCCAGAATCCAGATTTTGTATAGAAGTGAAGTGAGGAGTGCAAATAAGGATCTTACGACAAAGGAGACAAGATTGACTTGTTTTAAGCAGGCCAGTGTTTGGTGCAGTCAGTTTTTCCTCAATCAGTTCAAGTGTTCATTACAAATAAGGCAAAAAACTAGTTTGCTTTCAGGACAACTCAGTGTTGCTTTTCCTATGAATGAAATGAACCAAACTGGTCCAGGATATTCACGTACAACCCCTATGGAGAAATTCTCCAGTGGTCTTGCTTTCAAAATGCATTAATAGCCACAGAGGTTGACTCCATCTCATCTAAACTTCAAGTAGATAATTGCTCAAAAATGTCTCTGACTTATAAACTATCTGACCATCTAGGTCTGACTAGTCGTAGCTTTTTTATCAGATAATGCTCTTATCAAGTGAAATCTACTTATTACCTAGCTCTAGGACAATGTTTTGTGCCATAAGAAAGAGACCAAGAAAAGTGCCTCCTCCCCTTTCTTCTATTATCTCACACTGATAAAATATAGTCTATCTTCTGTGATAAGCTTATGAGTCATATATATACATACACAGGTATAGGTTGTAGCATACCTTGTATCTTTCTCTAACTTATTTGACAAGGACTGGGGATCATTGCTTCCCAGCATTCCTTGAAATTGCTCTGCGACCTTTTGACAACATACGGTCACATTCATTTCATATGTTTGAAGCTTCTCCCTCAATTCTTTATTTTCCTTATCTAAGCATTCAATAACCTTATGTGCGTCCTCGATTCTACATTCAAAATCATGAATCAACTCATTCAGACTAGCTTTTTCTTGAGCACTTTCTTCCTCCAATTTCTTAGCCTCAAAACAACTCTGCTCCAAGGCCGTCAAATCAAGCTTCATGCTCTCTATTTCACATTGGTATTCTAATGCAACAGATGAAATCGATTCCTCTAGTTTCCTTATGCACAAAGTTGAATTCTTCAGCTCCAGTTCTTGGTTCTCTAATTCCTGCATCAAACACAAACGTTCCGAATTGGACCTCTTCAACACCTCCATTAACCCGCCAACCTTTTGCTCTAGATCTTCCATGTCTGTGTTCCTTGTGTTCAGTTGATCCTGCAGATAATCTGTGAGGTATATTGTAATTAACTTAGGTAAACAATCATACGAAGTCAACAAATGGAAGCAACGTGCCAGAGTTCAATCCATGCATTAAAAATAACAATCAACATTGTGCTGCTTGTGTTTCACCCACATGGCCTTCTATTTAGAATAGAACTAAATGGAAGCAAGACGAATAAAAATATAAATCACAATATAATCAGCTTCCAACGGTTGAACCTTCAATATTCACACCAAGAATCTCATCATGGATATCAGCACGTTTGCAACATTTACACTTGTACAGCAAGGCATGTAAAGTTTTTTAATCAAAACTCATAATACAACTCTGCCTATTGACAGCACAAAAAATTCAACAGAAAATGCTCTGATAGTTAAGAGAAAGAAAGAAAGAAAATATCCAACAATGAGAAATATGCTGACAGGCTGTGGAGGATCTAATAGTTATGCAATCTCCAGATATTAGTTTGTTAAGGACAAGGTGGTGGTGGCGGTGGTGGTGGTAATAGCAGCGGCACAGAGATATTTCCTCCTGAATTACTGCCATCAGCATCCATGGCAGAAAGGAAACATGCTAGTAATTAAAATAAGAATGAATGAAACAAAATGAAGGGCCTGAGTATCCCTTCAATACATGATCCAACTCCCAAACAATCAAATATGTCCAAGTAAAATTATAGTAGGACTTAATACCTATTTCTTGGAAGCAATTACTCAGCTCTCTTTCCAACTCCTGGATACGTTTCTTGTCTTCTGTGCGGGCTTCGGACAATGTTCTCACATGCAGCTCCAGTCTCTGCATCAAAGAAAGTTGGATATTAGGTCCGTTCTAGAAGACTAATTGTGGTTCCTTCAATTTTGTATTATTAACTAAAATCACTAATATTCTTTTTAGACAAAATGGGAGGATAATATGCCAAATCTACCCCTTCAAAGTTGGCCTATTCACTTCAACTGGATCAAAAATGAATGGCCAACCCTAAAGGTAGCAACTGGATGTAACAAAAATAATCACTCTCCTTAAGGTTAGGTTGATATTTTTCCCCATGCAGAAGACGAATGAGCGGGGGATGGTGTTAGAAATTTAAAACCATATCACAAAGGCCCAAAAGTAGTTTAGCAGAACATTTCAAGGATAAAGAGCAATCCTGGACAAAAAAACTGAATATTCTAGAAATGTATACATTGTTAGCTTGTGGCTGGTAAAAGATATCACTTACGAGTCAAGGCCAATGTTACCTAGATCGTGACTCACTTTGGTACGTGAGACGGGTACGCAATGCGACATTTTTTATCTAGATCGCTTTCACTATTATGCAATACTATATATCATAAAATATCTATAAATACTAAGCCAATTACCATTTATTTTACGTTTATGCAAGATTTTCTATTATCTAAAAGAATATATAATTATAAATCTATATACACTTAGTCAATTAATATGTATTTTATATTTGTATTACATCTTTTATAGCAAATTGATTTAAGGTTAGTATTATAATTTGGGGCCGTGCTTTTAGGTGATCTGGATCGCGAACCCATCCTGTTTGGGATTGATATACCTAGATCGTGGGTTGGCAAGGGTTTAACGAATTCCCTACAACATCCTATAAAGGCGTTAAATTCCAAGGACACAAATCACCAGCAATGAAAGCCAGACACCAATGGCATATTTGAATAGAATTTAAATGACTCTTGAGTACTAAATGTTTTAATAGTATTTGAAGGTGAATATTTAGTTCTTATAATGGGGTCAATGAAGAGAATCTAAGCCGTCACTAGCGTTGATACCATGGAATATTGAGGTGTCCTTAGTTCTTAATGCTAGTTCCGTTATTAAGCATTTTTCGGGAAGTGAATGTCATTTTTTTCATTCACCTCGTTCAAGATAACATTTTTTCCGTCATGCTATTCAAGATAGGCTGAATATCTAAAAAAGTAAAAAGGATTAGTAAGAAACTGTTTATGATGCACAAATTCAATAAAAACAATGATGTAACCAAGAGATAAGCAATTACTCTGATCAGTTCAAAGCTTTCTGGTTGAGATTCTATCAAAATATCCTTTTCCTTCCTTAGCTACATCAACAAAAAAAATCATAGAAAAAGTTGATCAGTACGACAATCACCAAAACATCCACAAAAATTCCCTAACCAAAAACAAATGCAACATAGCAACAGCCAAGCGATTATCAATTAAATCACTAGCAAATGTTCTTGAATCCAAAATTACAAGGCAAAATCAAAAACCAACAAAAGTGGCAGTGCTCTTCTTTTTTTCTTTGTTATTATTTTCAAAAGAGGAATTGGACAGGAATCTTACCTCTCTACACCTGGTCCTGAATTGCAATAGCTCATCAATGTCAAAAGAGCTGTCGCTACCACTGCTGGATCGACCAGACATCTCCAGAGAAAAACAAAAACATCCATATGTTTAGTGTTTAAACAAAAATGTCTTCGAGATGATACGCAACATATGAAAAATAAAGTAAATAACTGGAATTTACCTCCATCCTTATACGTATCAAATATCGTTGAAATGAAAACTTTCATAAAACATCGTTAAAATGAAAACGAAAGAATCACAACGTTCCCTGTGGTATGCAATAAGGCTAATCAATAACATATTCGTTCAATCTATACGATACACCACACACACACACAGAGACAGAGATGCTACCGCTTTCTAGGGTTTTGGCTCTGATATTTACAGGAAATGAAGAAGATGATGATGACGACGACGGAGAAAGAATTCTTGATTCACCAACTGGTTTTTTTCGAATTGCGGAGAATTCGAATTTGAGAGACGGTCATGGCGAGGTCAATGCAATTTGAAAGGGCACTGCTGGGTTTAGCTGGCAATGGACCGGGTCGGACTTTTGGAAACCGGAACTTTGCCCACCCGCTCACCTACCTCAGCCGTACATCAACTTGTTTATTTACTTTGGCTCTTTGACCCATGCATCAAATCGTGACAAGTGTTCCTTTTTTTTTTTTTTTGGTATTATTTTGAAATCATTTCAAATTTATTTTTTTAGAGAATAAGTTACGATTACAAAAGTGATAATCAATTTTAATATTTTATTATTGATAATAAAAAATTATAATTTTAAAAGATAAAATTATAATTTTCAAAGTAAGTTATAACTGATTAAAAAATATTCATGATTAATTATAAAATTATCTCAACTAATTATAACTTTATTTTAAAAAGTTTAACTTAAATCTCAAAATATAATTACATTTAATAAGATACTGAAAAATTATTTTCGCTACTATAGAATTACTCTTGAAAAATATTAGGTCAATTAGTACTCATATATTAGTTAATGTTGTCGATGAACACATTAAATTATTCATTTAACCGAGAGTGCTCACTAATTTTTTCTTCTTAAACAAATATGATGACGGACTTCACATATGTTTACGATCATGTTGTTCATGTATCTTATAAATAATTTTAGATAAAATTTATCATGTTGCTGTGATTGAATAGAATTAATTTAATAGAGTACACACATTTTTAGTTTGAGTAAAAAATTTGATTTAATACAAAAAAATTTAATGGGCAAACTTAAATTTAATGAAGGACAAACTCAAATTTATAAGAAGGCAAAATTAAATTTAAAGGAGAGTGAAATATAACCATTGAATCTTTAAAGGAGAATAAAATCTAATCATTGAAGATTTTAGTAAAATTTTGAATTTTTGTATGAGTTTGGATGTAAACTGATAACAAGTTTATTTTTTTTGTAGAACCGCACTTTTATATTCACAAAGGAGACCAGCAAGAGCTTGCATAACTTGATCAGTATAAAAAACGGGAACCCCGACAGAAGTAAGCAAATCAACAATAGATTTTAATTATTGAAGATAACTTGTAATTCAGAGATCACCTTTGAAATAATGATAGAATTGCATTTTTAACTGCAAAATTCTCGAATTAACCTAGTCTTGAAACAATTATTCAATGGTAAGCCAAGCTTCACGTGTAGTGGGAGTATAATTGAGTATGATGATAGCGTGAAGAATATCATAAGAAATTGTGGCTTCAATCTAAAAGAGGACCAAATAATCAACCTACAAACCTACAACCAAGTCTTGTGTGTCAAATTGGAAGCTATTGTTTGGAGTCACCAAGCAGGAACAGTGGAGGACTTGAAAGATTACCATCCACATGACCATAGACATCATAGCTTTTAAGAACGGGAAGAAACAGTTCACGCTATAGGAGATAATTAAAAAAGTCCAACGCAATGGAGATGTAATTCCAAATGTTGGAGATGGAGTGAGCCAGATGATGGTTGGAAATCGGTAGAGCAAGTGGGGGAGAAGATGGTGTAGTCTTAATAGACGAGGGCAAAATGGAAGGAGAAGAAGACACGTCGAACAACTAGAAAAAAACAAAAAAAAAATTCAAGAGGGCCTTAGATAGAATTATGGAATCCCTTAACCAGTGAGTGAGTGATGTATAACCTATGGACTAACACAAGTGTAATACATAAATCCTTCTAATAGTTTGAGTTTACTAAGTCTCCTTTGAGCTTTATTGAGGGCAACCTGATAACAAGTTCTACTCTTAACTTGAAACTTTGTGTCTGCTTGGAAGCATGATTGAATAATATAATCAAATAAAAAGCTCTTAAACTATGTGATTGAATAAATCAACCTCTCAATTTAAAAGAATATACAATAAATTCATAATTCCGTTTGTAATAATTATGTTTATCTTAGCGGTCATGTTTTCTAAAATATTACTATGAGAGTGTGTGTGTATGTGAGAGAGAGAGAGAGAGATTTTGAAAAAACTTTAATATTACTATCTATTCTAGTTAAGACACACTTCATAGTCAATAACAGAGAAGGTAGATATACCATTTTTTTATAATTAAATTATAATAAGAGTATAGGGTGGGTGAACATTATTGGATCCATTGACCAATTTCATTGTTGAGCTCTCCACATTTGAAGGACTAAATTGAGATCTCTATTTGTATAAATAGAGAATTTATAATGTCGAGGGATAGACAAACTGTAAACCCAAACGTCTTGAATTCAAATTTATAATTTTTGGAGTTAGGTCATGATCCCTCGTGAATATCCTAATCTTGGTGTGGATGGTTTATCTTTGATCAAACCGGAGAGAGAATTAGTTAAGGTGGACGTATGCTAACTCGGACACTCCTGACCATTAAACTAAAAAAAAAAAAATAGAGAATTTATTGGAGATTGATTTTGAAGAATTGATTTTCTAAAGTGGTGAGAGCATAGAAAGCCTAACTGGGATACGTTAAAAAACATCGTTTATTATTTTTTTTCGTTATTGTTAAGAAAATATTTTTTAATTTATTGATAACCAGGAACTGTGCTCTAGGACACCTAGTGCAATTAACTAGCAGCTAAAAGCAACTTAAAAAAAAGACAGAAGTGTCATTACTTAACAACCAGTTGGCTTGGCTTTTATAATACACTGACATACACAACAGCTTGGCTTGCTTGGATCTGCAAAAGGCCCAAGATATGAGGCAAGTCTCACAGCTTTTCATGTCCTAGTTATACCTGTCAGAACCTGATCTGGGTGTTGGAAAACTCTTTTCTGGATAAGCAGTCACCCAACTTCTTTTCCAGTAATACTACCAGCTCTAGATAAGAAAAATAGATCTCCCTTTTTTTCTTTTTCTTTTTTTTCTGTTTGCCAAAAAGCAAAGCTACCACCTCTTAAAACATGTCAAAGTAGCACAGATAACAGGACTTTGAGTTGTTAATATCTCAAAGTTCAAAGTTCGAATATTGCAAGATCGTGGCTTACCCGACATGCATGATTTACAAGTAATTATATGCATTTTGAGTCACATAGGAGCCACGAATTCAAAGAATGTGTGGTTGGAACTATTTGATTGTTAGAAAAATGCTACCATCTACTAATCAGTAGAACCACCACTGCCCTCTACTAAGACCAGCTTCCTTTCATAGTGGATCATAATTACATAATTATGTTCTGCACAAGATGAATGCCTTGCAAGTATCAATGTATGCTTCTGTGGTTGCCATAAAGATTTTGTTGAGCTAAATAAGATTCCCCATGAGACCATTGCCAATATTCAGTCCACTAAAAGCAAACCAATCTGTGCTAATATTTGAGAGGATTTTAAGCAATCCCTAAATCCAAACAGAAGCTCTAAACCAACCAAACCCCCCCTCCCCAACAAAACAATTTAATACAATTTTTCAGAGTCCTATCTCTTAGTCTTGGGATAAGCTCAAATGAACTAGCATTAAAAGTGGTCCACTCTATTTCCCTCCCCCCCCCTCTCTCTCTCTCTCTCACACACACACACACACGCTCTTACTTTTATGATGATGTTTCTATTACTAATAGTCTATGAGGTAAAGTTACATAAGCACCACTAGAACACTAAGTTTAAGAAAGAAAGAGGAAGGGAGGTGGGTTGTCATGCTTCATGGTAGGTGACTAAACAACCACCTTGCGCTCATCACATGCCATCTCTGTGCACATTAGAAAATGCCTTTATCTTCTCATGACTTCATTTGCTAATCCAATTGTCAACACCACACTCATTTCTCTTCAATGGTAAGAGAAAATAATTACCCCAAGAAACATTTTACTTACTCACAAAAAAAAAAAAAAAAAGGAATAGTTCTAGTAAAATTCAAAGAGGAAGAAGAAACATGAAATTTGATCACAGAATTGGCCTTTCCAGGGAAAAAACCATTGCAATAAGCTTACATTTGCAGCAATGGAAATTCAACCACCTTATGAAACAGATAAAAAGAAAATAAAAGATACTGTAATGGGCAAAATGTAAAACTTGTAAGGTGGAAGTTGAAGAAGTCTGCTTAGAGGCTATAAGCAGCCAATTGAATTGCTACTGCGGCAAAGACTTCAATGTAAACAATGAATGATTCTGTACAGTCTTGAATCTTTGATGGAAAGCAAAGGGCACAGGAGGACTAGGATCAGTTGGAGAGCAGACCCACGAGAGACTCATGCTGGTTGTTGCTCCCAATCCACCATGGCTTGAATCCAACATGGCGACTGCTGTCTTCTTCAGCAGGAGCAGGCAAATTGAGATCAAGAAAATCTCTGATTTCTGGGACTGGTTTCTGAATTACAACGGGTTGGTTTCCTTTGGCCTCAGCAATCAAATGTGACCTCTTGTGACCACCCAATGCTTGGCCTGATGAGAATACTTTGAAGCAAATTGGGCACTCATGTTCCTTGTTTTTCACCTTTTCAGCGTAGCTAGCCACCATGTCACGATCAATGGGCTCACAACTGGGGTGAGATTTGATGAGTTTGCTATCAGCAGTTGGGTCTGGAGAGATCTCAGTCTCAATGCTGGTTTCACTGCTGTCAATTTTGGAAGTAGCGCAGCCTCTGATCTTCTTATGGCTTGCCCTGTGACCTCCAAGAGCTTGGTAAGAGTGGAAGGTCTTATTACAAGTAGCACACTCAAACTTCTTTTTCTTCTCAGAATCCTTGTACATTTCACAACCTGAAGGACCATAAGTCAACTTTTTTGAGTTGTCCACAGCCAATTCAGGATCAAACAAATCAAGACCCTTTCTCTTGCTTGACTTATGCTTCTTAGAACCCAATTCTACTTGATCTAATTCAGTTTCCTTGATCAAATTCTTACCCATCTCAACTTCAGACGCCTCGATTCCATACTCGTCATTCAATATAGAATTCTTGGATTTTTCATCTCTTAGAAAACCATCAACTGGAATTTCTGATTTGTTTTTCTTAGGCTCAATTCTTGAAACCCCAGAAGCATCAAGTTTTAATTGTTTCTTTTTAAACTTCACATTATCAGAATCCAAAATAGTAGACTCTAATTTCCCGTTTCTTACTTTCTTGAGCTTCACAAGCTCACCAGAATTACACTTCGAATTCTTACCCTCAATTCTAGTAACTAGATTAGTTCGAGTCATTGATCGAGCTTCTAAGAACACAGAATTGTTGTCTGAGGACTCACCAAAAGAATTCAAACCACCCCAATGACTCACATCCTTAGAGAGCATGATCAAACACATAGCAACCTCTTCTAGTTCTTGTTCAATTTCAGAAACAGATGATGAAGCATTAGCAACAGAGAAAGTAGTTGTTGTAGTGACCATGTACCTTTTGGTTCTTCTTGATCTCTTTCTTCGATTCGGAGCAGTAGTTTCATTGTCTGATTGGCTATCCATAACCAACTTCTGATTCTCACCACCAGTCCAGGAATTTTCCTCCAAACTGTTTGAAACTTTATTTGAATGACATTTCATATGGCCAAACAAGGCTTTCCAAGATTGAAAACCTTTCCCACATTCTTTGCAAAGCTTGTCATGAAGCAAAGTATCTTCACTTGAATCTGCAAATCTAAATTTCTTCTTTGGATTCTCTCTAAGGCCATAACTAGTAGTATCGGTTTTAGCATTGATTCCACCATTGTTGACAGATGAGAGCTTCTCTTTGCTAAGCTTTTCATCAGTTTCAACTGAATTGATCACATGAGACCTCATGTGACCCCCTAAGGATCTACCACAGGGGAAGCTTTTGGTACAGAGTTTGCACACATGTTTCAGTTCTTGATCTGCTTCCATTCAAGTGAATTACAGTTGAACAACACAGACCATGATCAGAACAAGGCGAAAAAAAACTCTGATTCAGATTACAATAAGTGAAAAGGGTAACAAATCTATCTCATTACACTGAAAAAATCCAGAATGGTAATGAAACAGGGGAAGGAACAAAGATTAAGATCAATAAACAAGATTAATCTTGAACTGAAAATTTGAGTAGGTAAGGAGTTTTCTTGAATCTTGAACTGGTCAGAGAAAAACCCATATCAGATTTTCGTGAAATTAATGGACAAGAACAAGATCTGATGTACTAGAAGTGCAAAGAAAGAGAGGTCAGTTGGTGAATATCTAGTCTCTGTCTCTCTCTCTCTCACACACACACTACTAGCTCTTGGAAAGTTGAAATTTGAAGAAAAAATCGAACTTTGGAGAGATGGGTCTGCTACCTTTGTTGCTAATGATGGCTATGAATAGGCCAAAGAAGAAAAATTAAACGAGAGAGCGGTTTACTCTCTCTCTCTCTCTCTCTCTCTCCCCTTGAATACTAACTATATTTGAGGAGAAATCCATGCATGGAAGCAAAGATAAAAGGAGGTAAAGGGAAGATAGCAGCACGTGAACTCAACTGAGAATCCTACGCCAACTAGATCCAACGGCCGCGATTCGCCCAATTGAGCATCCCTATGGCTGTGGGACCTCATGCTCAAGCTAACTACTAGCTATTCTTTCCTTTGTCTTGCTATTAAGGAAGCCCACAATAACCAAGTGAAGGTTCCACTCTCTGGCAGTTATTCTTTTGGACTCTCTCTCTCTCTCTCTCTCTCTCTCTCTCTCTCTCTCTCTCTCTTTATATATATATGCAAAATTGAAACAAATTAGAACCCACAATATGGGGTCCCACAGTTCAGTACAGTTGCTTCACTGCCAATCAAGATATGCCAAGTTGTCTGCTTCCAACTCTATCTAGCCATTGAGGGTAAGCCACGAGGTTAGTTTGGTCATTTGGACAAAGTTATAATTACATCATTATATGGAATTCTCAGCAAAAAAAAAAAACACTGCAAGCGTGCAGTTGAAGCCTTGTACTTGGACTTCTAGTACAACCCATGTCTTGGCATGTTTATTAGTATCACTATGCTGCCAGCATTTTCTACACTTACTTTGTCACGAAGATTATTCTAATCACGTAGATTTGATTAAATTTAAGTTTTATATGGTTAGCGAGATACAAATTAAAGACGTACAAATTTACGATTCATCTTTGTTGAATCACTATATCAACCCCTGTAAGTTTTACTTCCTATTTTGTCTATATTTTCCACATTCACTGTACCCTTGAAATGATGAACTAAATTCTGTGATAGTTCAACCATATTTTGGCATATTTGCATAATTGTACCCATCCAAAGGTGTTTTTAATATGTATGTCTTTTTGTCTCTCTTTATCTTTTGGTTGAACTTATCTATGCTAACTTGTATCTTTGGAATAAAGTGTCAATCAATAGGGACATCTTTACTTCATTTGCCAGCAAAATATAGCTAAGTAATTCAGCATAGGCTAATGAAATAGCAGTATATGTAGATCTTAAAATCTGCCCAATCAAGAAGAGATTTAATGATGGATGAAATATTCTCTATTCATTGTTAAAGCTGTCTACAGCTGAAAAAGCTCTGCAAATTACAGATCATTTGGTTATAAATGAGTAATGTGGGTGTTGAGGCTGTTGTTGGGGGGTAACTCAAATACCTTGTATCATCTTACTTCATACATCACTATAATCCAATGCTGTAGCACAAGTGTTTAATCACTGGAAGCTATTTGGGGCTTGGATGGTAGTTAATGTTCACTATGAACTTGTCATGGATTGGCCAGCAACGCTAATCCGAGCAGCGATGCCGGCCTAAGTCGATGATCAAGCCGGCTTTCGTTGCACTAACCATAACACAAATGTCTTATTAGCAACGATGATTTATATCTAATTGGTGCGATAAAAATCATTTTTTTTGTACCTTCTTTAGCCGGCACCTTAGTACACTGTTTAGCTGTAAGTTGTCTGTTTTAGATTCTTTTTCCCTTTTGTTGTTTTATAAGTGGAAGAGAGTACCACATAGGAAACTATAACAAGGAAACTACTGAACATAATTGCTTACTGAATTTTTAAAAAAATAAATGGCATGTGCCTGCACATTAGGTGTGTGTGCTTTGGCCGGTGATTATGCATTCACTATTGTGTGTGAATCAATGTACCTTGTGGCAAACCAAAGAATCCTTATTCTAACAAACAGATTGGGGGCAATCATTTATTTCCTTCTTTTTTTTTTTTTTTTTTTGTGGGGGTAGAAAGGATTGAATGTAGGTGACATAATCAACATCTATAAAAATTCGTCTAAAATTTATCGGAATAATTAGCAAATTAGAAATAAAGTATTTAACTTAATTTACTTGTTTTCAACTGTCACAGTTACATAAATTGTGCAGGCTCTCACAATGGAAACCTTGATTATTGGGAAAGAAGAAGCATATAAGCAATGGTATTGTAGCCAAAAACGCCTCGGGCTGTTATTAGGAGGTTGTCCAACTACTACCCTTTGAATTTTTGTGCCAAAGTATGGTATATATCAGGTGCATCATCCATTTATTGTGTATTCACCTACACAATTGAGGAATTTGGTAAAATTACTTCCATTTTGGCCTGAAAGCTTTTGCATTCATTTAGCCCATTTCTTTTGGGATATGCATCAGTAGTAGGTCACCAATTATGTTTCAAGATCCAACTATTAAAACTTCCTAATAATGCATCTGTAGCATAGGAGAAAGCACGCATAAAGATGGAAAGAGAAGCCTGAGAGAAGGCACAATAGAACCCGCAATGTCATAGTGTGACCCAATTCATTGCATCTAACTGCTGCACAAGAGGACCACACATTAGGCCAACTACATTCACAATAAGAACTGTTATCTGAAAGCTGGATTATATGTTTATCTTCCAGTATTTATTAAATGCAGTCTTCACCCAGTACTTATTATACATACCTGTAGAATTCTAGTGCTGTAGATATGATGTGTTCTATTATAGCAGATGCTTCACCTGTAAGTGAATAGAAAAGGGTTTGCAAAAGTGAAGCTCAAATTGACAAACAGACACATTCCAAAGGAAGTTTGACTATCCCTTGTCTTCTCTCATGCCTTGAAGCATTATTAAAACCAAGATAAGATGCACTAATTTGGCTTTATGCTTTGGTCAAGCATAAGTCTAGAACCACCAAGGGTGGGTCTTTGAATTACTCTTCTCAATTGTATAAAGCTTGATTAGCCCTTCCACTACCTAGCTAGCTTTATCCACCACCATTTGTCTAAATCTTCTGAACATGGTTTTTTCCTTCACATTGCTTTGTCACAGCCAAAGACTCCTTTTCCTTGTCTAATTCTGAAGAACCTTTGCAGATGCTTTAATTGGGATTCTTTCTTTCAGCAATAAATCCTTTCTCTTGGCATCACCATGGCAATTAAAAATCCATCTTCTGTATAGCCAGGGTTAAAATTCGGTTTCAGTGCCTAGTTTTAATTATTTCGCAAACAATAGCTTTTTGAAATAGTTTTGGTTAGTTTGGAAACGAAAAGGTTTTGAAAAAAAATGGAAACACAAAACATAAGTAATTTTGATTTCACTACATTAGGTAACATTGGCCAAAATATTTTCAATCACTGATTCGGTTGTCTAAGAAAACTGGTGGGTGCTCCAACAAAAAACAATAGGAAAATGGCAAGCAGATCTGTTTAGGCCATCTTCTACATAATCTTTAGCATCCATTAGTCACCATCTTCTTAGTCCCTTCATTGTGATTACAGTAGATTGGTGAACTATGTTAAGTTCAACAGTAAAATTAGAAATTGATGTTGTAAAGTTTCTTTAACTTTGAAATTGCTCATATGCATACCCTTACCACAAGTCAAAGCAAGATCTACAGAGTGTGCTCTCATTCTCTGCACAACTGCACCAAATTGAATGAGACACTGGTAAAATGTAAGGAGCTTCACGGCCTCACAAGCAAAACCCATCAAGTTCAATAACGCGTGTCACTGATTAATTGGTCCATGAAGGTCTAGTTGGCACCAAATGGTGATTAAAGAATTGACCATATGATAGTTTCATTAATTACAAGAAAATCAAGATTTAATCAATGGTAACTACAAGTTGGTTAAAAGCTAAGAGACTTTCTCTTCTACTGTTTTACAGGCTGCTCAACTGCATAAAACTGTGTTAATACATACATGTGCAGTGTTTGCCAATAATTATCTAAGGCAGTCTGCAAAGTAATTTATTTAGGGCTCTCTCTCTCTCTCTCTCTCACACACACACACACGCCCCTGTATGTCTGTGTATGAAGCAACTACAAATCCACCACCCAACATAATATAGACTAATCATAAAGATGCATGGGTTCCTTTATATGGGCAATAATGGTGCATGTGTTAGTGAGCAAGTTCTCCACAGAAATGCTTTGGGAATACTCAAAAGAGTCAATCAAATCCAGAAAAGAAAATTGTAGAGAACAAATAAAATTTTTGTGGGACCCAATGCTCACCTAGTATTTTGGATGGATCATGGATAGGTTTCTTTGGGTGAGCACTAGCACCATCATCCTGACTTTGTTTATTAGTTGCTCTTTTAGTTAGCTAAGCAAAGAGGCCCCTTAGAAGCCTTCCTTATCTGAAGCCATGTGGTTGTCAACGTAATGGCTTTCACATTTCTGGAGCCCCAATTTTATAAAAATTCAAGAAGAACCTGAAAATAACAAAATCAATAAACATGAAAATAAACAAGCCATTTATTCCAAGAAAAAAAGTTCATTTTTTTTTCTTGATCTAATTTGGGAATAATGGCTTTAAAGTATATTTTGAATTATGGAAGATCTATGTCTAGTGGATTTGATTGAGAATGCAGGGAAAGAGCATTATCTCGGTGTGTTTTTGATTCAGATTTTTGCACAAATAACACGAGCCTAAAGTAATATGATTCGGATATGACACGATCCAAACAAAACACATCACGACTCGCTTGATAGCCTAACTTTTTGCATAGACAGATTCATTCCCATTTTTTGGCATTTTCAAAATTAGAACCATGAAGCTGAGTCAATTCTTGAAATAAAGTGAAATGATTATTTCATTTACCTTGAGCACCATTGATTGCCTGATGACTTTTGACTTTCTGTTGTGCCATTTACAAATAGATTGTATTAGATTTTACAGCAATGCCCCGTTTAACAAACCCATTTCCAAATTATGTATAATGCATCAAGGTTGTTGGATTAATAGGTCTTACTAAATCCCATTGAGTATTCGATGATTGTGACTATGCCACATTGTGGTGCAAGAAATTTGGAGTCAACTATCAGACAACGAAAATAGTAGGAGTATGATCTCTTTCAATGATAAAAACCAAGGAGGTACGAAAATAGTTGATGACTGAGCAAAAGCAACAATTATAATTGATCATTAATTAAAGATTTCTAAAGCAAAGCATTGCAGATGGGCATGCATGGGCGGTTCAGTAGTCGAGCAAGGGACAAGCAGGAACACTCGTCTTGAGTTTGAGTCCCACTGGCCGTATTTAACTTAAATTTAATCGCTGCACATTGCTTGAGGATCATTGTCATTGCAATTATAAGTCTAAAGATATATGGCTGGATGATTCCTTCGTTGTTACAAAAGATATCGGTCATGTTTTACAAAGAATAAGTCATTGTTAATCATTTAATGGTGTAACAAGAGGCCTTTTGTTTGGTGCCAGTATTATTATGCCCCTTGTAATCTTGACTTTAGTGCTTAGTGTTAGTGGTTGTACTTACTCTTATTTGTCTCAGAATCCCTCCCTATGATCTTCTTAGTTTAAGTAATATTTTCAAGTAGCAGAATGGGTTCTTTTTATTGAAAGAAAGCCTACACACAATAGGGTTATAAACCAATGCAATTATTACTGTATCTTGTTTGCTTTGAAGTACACTTCCATGGGTTTTTGCAAGTATTCCTTGAGTAGAGATAACACCTCTGCGAGCATAAACATGAAATGGTAGTGCGGGTCAGGGCCAGTTCACCCTACCAGTCAATGGCCCATGCCCATCCATGGGCTAGCTACCAAGGTGTCGATTAATCAAAGGGTCTGGGGCCAATCATGGCCAGTTCTAACAGGTCTATCTTTTTCGTAGTTTCAAACTTTGACATTTTTTCTTGAATTTGACGGCCGAGGGATTGCGAACGGTCTTCCTAGGGGCCACAGGCCGAGCCGGAAAGTCCTAGTCTTGGATGCCTGCATTCCTTTGGAAAATGATAGAAAGCATTACGTACCTACATTTTTGACTTACAGGACATATTTCATAGTGCAATACTTTTTTTGAATGCCCAATAGAGTCCCAAACTAGGAGCTGCTTTCTGATAAAGCATAAAGTATGTTTGTTATTCAAACTCAGCAGGGATAAAGCAATGAAAGGGCAGTCAGTCCGGTCCATGAGTCTTCTATCACGGTGAGATTAGAAAATTATCAGATGTATATAATCTTACCCTCCCATACGAAAAGCTTTTGTCCATGACTTGAACTCGAAACATCCAGATCACAATGAAATGCTGACCCAATAGAGTCAACCTTAGGTAATAGTGTGATAAAAATACCTTGTTGATACTCCATAACGGAGGTAGAAAGCAATACAAACTTGTCATATAGAAGCTGAAGATAAAACTGGCACTACTATCAAACTCATCTATTCAGCAAGAAATAATCTTGCTTACCACATAAGCAGTAAAATGAACGCAGAATATGTCTGTTGAATGAATGCCTTTTGGGCTAAGGATCCATGTTTGAAAGGTTCGAACTTCAGGGAAACCCTCAGCAGACACGGGTAAAGTGACATACTTTTAACCCTTCCAAGACCCGCAATGATGAAAATCTCGTGCAGTGGCTTGATTGAAATATTCAATATGAAGGGCAACTTATTATACAAGCATGCATTCCTACCCTTCTGTTTATTGGCTCAACTTTTTCACAAAAAATTCAAAGAAAAAAATGGCCCATAATATTAGGATCCTTTGAACTAATTGGGCAAGTTTATTGGGAAACAAACTTCTATCTTCTGCCACTTCCAACAAATAGGTTAAGAGGACTGAAAATACAAGCCTCTTCGGTCTAACCTCATATACTAAACAAACAAAGAATAGAAAATCTATCTAAGCTCTACATGGTTCTACTCACAGCGGAAATTTACAAGTACATTATATAAGCTCAGCTGCCCCTCCCCCGAGGGTATCACTACAGAAAATCACTGGTACTGTTACATTTAAAAGGGTGACAAAAACTGTGCAACTTGGAAACAGTTAAAACCATTTGATCACCCTGTAAACCATTCACCTTCCAAAAACTCTTGCAGCGTAGGAAGAACATTGACTTTCCTCCACATGCTAATCTACAAGGAAAATTTTGATGTTCCCATCTGTCGTAAAGAGAATCCGAGATGGATTCACCTAACAAGCACAAGCCTGTTGCTTTCTGGATAAAACTTTTGCGGCAAGATGAAGATGAGAACGCGGCACTAACTTAAGTCCTTCCCATCTCTGTCGTTGCAATTCCAACCTCCAGCTCCAAAGACCTCTTCAATCATACTGCATGTTGGTAAAAATTCAGCATCATTTTTTGGACTGGTCAAATAGCCAAGATCCCACACTTTGGTGTCAAAGGGTTCTGAAGCAAATTCCTGGCCACCCCCGCTGGTCATTGCAGATAAAGTACCTGTCCAGTGTTTGCCATTTTCAACCTTTTCTTGGGCTACTTGCCCGGCAGCCCCATCATCAAATGATGTACACGAGTCATCCTGGTCATCGTGATGTCCACTTTCACTCCCACTCCCGAGAATAATGTCCAGTGGATGAATTGTAAGATCAGACCTGCAACTGTTTTGCAAGTTCCTCAGGCATGTTTCTGATATAATAGGAATATCCACATTCTGACCAAAATCCACATCCTCATGAATATCACTGGGTGCAAGCGCCACAGCCTCGTCATATTCATGTAAATCATCTTTGTGGGTGTCATGGCGAGTATGATAATCTTGATAACCTGGGGATTCAACTACAGAGTTTTCATGTTCCTCAGTTACCCCAACTCCGTCATCAACAGAATCATTATTCACCAGCCACTCATCATCATCGCTGTCAATGTTCATTGGGTCACATCCATTCTGCTCAGCCCGTCTTCGCAGCAAAAAGACATTGAAATAATAGCTGACAATTTCCTTTTTTGTCCGAAAAGGGAACTCTATCAAAAGATGGTCCCAGAAATTCTTCCCCAACGATGCAGGATGTGAAAATACCACCTCGTGAAATAGTCGCTCATCCTCTTTACTCCATTTCTCTGCCACCACCTCCCCCATATCACACAACCCCAGCTCCACAAATCTCTCTTGCCCAAGGGTTCTTCGAAGCTGCTCCCTAGCTTCCTTTATGTGTTGTCTGACACATCTGACAGAACCCATGTCCTCACAGCAACAACCATTTCTGCCACCCCCAACTTTACCGCCATTACTTGCGGATGGCTCCCCTTCAGCCATTGGAATGCCATATGTCCCAGACAGCTTGTCCACAGCATCGGTATGGTCAACAAGGTCTGATTCTGAAGTTTTAGGAAAATGGACTAATGCTTTAGATTTATCTGAACAATTGGAAGTGTTAATGGTACCTTGTTCACCCCACTCAGGAATGTCAGCTTGATAATCTGGTCCAATGGGGACTAGTTTTTGAGGAGGGTGTTCCAAAAGATAGGAATATACCTCCTCAAAGTGAACAAAGGACCTAAATGGACAGTCATGATTAGGATAATCAAGTGACAACAACAAAGGAAATGGGGCCTCTGGCCTGATATTTTCTTCAGTGGTACCGCTAGTGCCCCAGGAAGAGTTGGAAAGGCAGCAAGGAACACTGTTTTCCACATCGTTCTCAGCACATATTGGAAGACCAACAACATTGCCACTTGCATGCTTCTCGTCAATTGCAGTTTTAGTTTTTTCAAAGCCATCCTCATCCCCACCTATACCAGGTCCAGTAAATCAGTCAATCAAATGCAAAAATAGAGACTAAATGTATTCCAGCAGGGCGTCTTTGCATAGAAAATATGGGCTAAACAAAAAACCAATCAGGTGACTAGAAGTCCTTGTCTGATGCCCCTAAATAATGACGGAAGTGATTAATCAATCCATGTGTTTTCCAATGGTCAAAAGTCAGCACATATATGGAAAATAGTTCTAAAAACTTCAAGACACCCACAAGGTCATATAAACAGAGAAAGAAATTGTTGATCCGTTTTAGAGAAATTTCGGCTGCTATTAAATCTTGAGCGAAGGGTAAAATACAGGAAACTCCCAAAACCTTAGTCAACCGCATCTCTCCAAAAGATAGGCAGCATAATGTGAGTTACCAATGGATCACCATAAACTAAGAGTACAAAAGGTAATAAGATCATCAAGTCAAATAAAATGTTGCACAGAATACTTGAAAAGTAGGACAAAAATTTGGTGGTGGGATAAACAACCCTGAAAATAAGGCGTTCATGACATAAGAGATGGAATGAAGCAGTTAAACATGCCCATAATCAGCCTCAAGCGTTCTTCAAATGTCAATAAAATTTTTCCGCACCTGAAGTGTGAGGTTTGAGGACCACATCTTCAGAAGGGAAATCCAAAACTGAAACTAGCTGGCTACTGTGTTCCACATGTCTTGGGTGCTTAGATGAAACCTCAAACACCTCTTCCCCACTAAAAGGCCGTTTCTGTACCATGATGAACTGTAACAGAAAGAGAGAAAAATTATAATGGGACACAAGTAACTTTAATTGACAAGGACGTGTGATAAGAGGCAAGCAACAAATCAAAGATTTAATAGATAGAAAAAAACCAAAGGGACTGAAAAAATGCACTCATTCAAATTAACACGATCAAAATGCAATGCACAGAACTACTATAATATCCAGCAAAAAATTCCGTAAGGTTACTTGATATGACTACCAACAATTGGTACAAAGTGCTGGTATTCACATGTACCGAAAAAAACTTTTCTCATGATCCAGCATACATAGTTCATGTTATTTGGGTAGCTAAAACATGAAACTAATACCAACATTTTACAAACATAGAAAGAACCTTAGTAAATACTATACCATGAAGTCAAAGCTAATGAAATGTTCCATAAAAGAAACAGAAGTTCACCAACAAGAAATTCCAATGTCCATATCTTAACTAGAAATTTCACGCATGTGAATTGATTGGTCAAAAACCCAGTTGGGTAAATATGCAGTAATAGACCATTGTTGCAGCAAGGATACCGACACATCTAAATACAGCATTCAATCTGCACACCACTTTTACTAGTTTTACAAATCGAGAATCTTTTATCAAGAATTTTTTTTTTTATTGAAAACTACAAGCTGACATGGGACCCAATACCCATGATTTGAGCACCCCTACTTTTTGATATGAGACAGTTAAATAAGAGGGAAGGTTACCATAATGACCCCACCTTTCAAAAGGAGGTGCCCCCCTCTAGAAATAAGCTTAAGAGATTGCAATAAATATCTTTGTCTAAATTTGATAAAATAAAATAAAAATATTAGCTTATGGTTGATAGAATTATGAGAAAGCACAGGTCTTTTATACCTTAAATTAATTGTAGAGGGACTTTCCACCAATCAGCTGACAAAATCGCAATTTTGTCAAATTTAATATATCGAAACCTCGACCACAGATTCCCAATCTTTCACTAAATTCCACAAATTCATACAAAGCTCACCGATAAAAATACAGCAATTTATACAAACCCAGAAATGATCTAAAAGATCTATGGATCAAACAAAACCTAACTATTTCAAATCCACAAACGTTAGAATAGCAAAAAATTAATAAATCAATATAAAAGTTGTTTACAAAATCAAACAATTAAACGGAAAATATCGAAACCCAGATCGAAAATCGACGAATTCACGAATAGAAATGACTGATCGAAGGGACCTGAAGAGGACCGAAGAAAAATCACCCTAGCCTACAAAAGTCGAAACAGTGGACCGCAGGGATTGAAAGAGGGATCATTCGATAGATCAGAAAGAGAATCGAAAGAATCTGAAGTTAATTTGACGATCGGGAAGGTAAATCGAAATCGAATCGGAGAAGAGAGAAGATAGATCGAAAAAGGGGGGAAATCGAGATAAAAAAGGCGAAAGCTAGCGTCAGCGAAATTTTTGTAACCGGCGGTCCGAAAATAGTAATACGGTGGTCAGAAAAGTGGTCCATTATTACGGCAAATGCCATTCCATTCACGCCTTCTATTATGTAGTGGTGTTGGACATGTGGGGGTGTTTTGGGTAAATTGGGTGGTGTCAAGTCACAAGTTGGCGGCACTGACAACGGTTGTAATCTTTTGTGCAAGGACAGAAATACGGATCCAATAACTAAAAGCCTATGCCAAATTGAAGGGCATGTTCCTTCGGGTGGTGTTTGGATCATCAGAGGATTGAATTGAATTTAAATTCAAAATCATCTCAATTCAATTCAATTTAATGTAAAATAATTTAGATTAGATGATTATAAAGAAATGTATCAAATTTTATCTCAATTTTGGATAAAAAAATATTTAATTTGTGGATCTCATTCACATGTAAAGATAAAACATATTAAAATGGCTATTGTACATTTATATAAATAAATGTAATACAATCTTATACCATGTTTAGATTAGAATGAAAAAAGTCATAACCATTAATATTGTCTTATTTAGAAAAAAAAAATTATCAATAAATTATGCATTTTTATAAAATATTGCAAAATTTTTTTTATTATTTATTTAATTTAATTTGTCCAATACACTTTTAATCACAAAAATCATATGCATCATGCAAACAAAAAAATAAATAAATGTACAACACAAACACATAATTATAATTCGAATAATATCTATAATATAAAACATAGCGGTTTCAATAAGTTCGTTCAACGATCTCAAATAAATTCATCTAACAATCATCAAATTCATCACTTCTACCATTCTGACCAAGGCCCCACCCCCAACGTCTCTCGCATGATCCTCCCTCTGTCTCATCTCTCTTTGTCGGATCTCCATCTTCTTCATTCGCATCTCACCCTCTCTCCCCGATGTCACACCCCAATCAATCACGAGCGATGACCACAACGCCACTAGCCAGTCCCCAATACGACACCACCAGAGCCACCAACGGGGTAATTTTTGTCTCATTTTCTCTTCATTTCTCTTACTCTTAACCCACCAACGTGTTTCTGTCTACCTCCCTGCCTTTATCTGCTTCTCAGCCCCACTCCATCAACTCCATATCTACTGTATGCTATCACCCCAGATCTCCACCACACATGCCCCATAGAGAACAAACGTAATTTTTCCATGCTCTTAATCTCTCAAATAATAACATTATCTATGTGGACCTACAAATTGTTCGATCAAATGCCCCAATGGTTCCTGGCATACACCCTCTGTTTTATCACACATACAGGCACTCACTAAACCACAATCGCACCTTTAAAAAAAAAAACTACAGCCACACACACATGTTCAAGTTGATGTGAATTTTGTTGGAATTCTGGATTAAGTGTAATTGAATTTCTAATTGCATTTCTTTTGCTTGAATTGAACATCTGGTTGACAAACATTGCGAGCTCAATATTTGTGAGTTTTTGTTGTGTTTAACATGTAAAACTAAGGTTGGCAATGCCACTAAGGTGGCAATTTGGTGAACAATATAAAGATGTCAGTTGCAATGTTGCTTCAAGTTGTGAAATAACTAGGTAATTTCTCATTATTATGTTTATCTGTTTTCATCTATTTTAAGGGTAGATATATGTTACTTTATGAGTTGTCTTAAGAGGTTCAAGATCACAATCACACATAATTATGTACAAATATTCTAGGCAGTTTGAATAGCAAAACAACTATTTGTCTAATACTCTATTTTTTGCAAACATTGTTTCTGAAACGATGTAGAACAACGTATGGTATTTCATAAAGTTGCCCAAAAAGATTAGTTTTATTTCTTGAAAAAAATTAATTTTCAATATCTTTAAGCTCATTATATTATAGTAATTTGGGTTTGACAAGTGTGTTATGACATGTGTAATGTTGGGCATAGCAGGAGGAGGAGGAAGATCTATGAGAAAATGAAAAAGCATTGCATAATTTAATTTCAAATTTTGAATTTAGTCTATTTGGTGCAATTTAAGCTTGATTATTTTGATTTATTAAGAGTTTTGATTATCAAAGTTAATCAAAACTTTGGTGTTTCATTTTCATAAATGAACAAGGCCTTGATGACTGATGAAGGTATTGAGTACCTCAAGTAGCCTCAACTTCAGCTTAAGGTGCAAGTTTGTTGTTTCCGTTTAAAATATTCCAGTTAGAGATAAAGTTGCATCTTCTACCAATACAAACCTTGAATACTCATTGCCTTGGTATACTTGAAGAATTTGAGTTGATGAGTGGATATTGATAATGACTTACGAATGATAGGAGAATATTTTGTTGTGGTTTTATGTTTGAGATTCGTTTTTTGGTTGATTACTTGGGTTTGTTGCGTTGAGAGAGATATTTAATATCATAGAATGTGATTTTCTAAACTAGAATGGTTGAATCAATTTTACTTTTCATTTAGTAATTTCATGGATTTGGATGAATTTATTTGGATTAAGTAGGTTTAAGCAATTAAACAAGATGTGTTAGTCGTGTTTTCTAACAAATAGTTTCACCAATCTTTGGCACCAAACAAAAGGGATTCAAGCATGTTGAATGTAGGTGGGAAGCAAATTATTTGTGATGTTGAGTGCTACCCTTAGCACCAAAGTGCTTCGAAGTATTGTTTTAGGGAGTACCATTTTGAATGTTCTTTATCTCTTCATTGAGCATGTATACAAAATGCGGGTGTGTTATGCAGTTTAGACTTTCAAATTATTGTGTATCCATATTCGTGCTTGATTTTTTAATGCTCAATTTTTTTGAATTACACAATGTCTTCATATACGAGTTATTGTCCCTTTTTTTCGTGTCCACAATCAATGCTCGAATTTTTTGAATCACACAATGCTTTCAGACACGGGTTATCGCTAGTGCTTGTACATAAAAAAACAACAATGGTAGACAAAAGGTCTCTATTTTATAATCGTTCCTACACAACATACAAATTGCCTATTAGAGACCCTCCACAACAAAATCAGGTAGACACTTTGCCTTTTTGGAGACCGTCCACCACAACAAATGGCAATATGGTTAATGTCATATATATATACATATACTATACTTCACAACACGATCAAACAACATTCAATCAACACAAAGTAACCTTTAAACATTCTGCAATTCCACAAGCGTTGTTACATACATACCAAAATGACTTGTGGATCGTAGATATAAGTTCCATATAAGGCTTATTGGAAGAAGTCAATCATCAATGATTATAACATCGATGATTGGGGCGGAATTCACTGATAAAGACGATCCGACACTATCAAAAAGTTGTCTGCTTAATGGTGGAACATCATTTTTAAAATGACTTCAAAATAGTGGTAGTTAGGACATGGATCTAGATAGTAATCCATAACAAATTCTACTTCCTGCATGATATAAACAACAAATAGTTAATATTTTTGAAAAGGGAAAAAAAGAATGTACTTTTCAATGAAATTAATGAACCAAACTTACTTCTAAATATTCATTTGATCCCTCCACATCTCCTTTTATGACACATTTATTGCGAGTGTCCCAGGAAAATTTACTCATCTCCAACATCTCTGAAATTGTGAAATATTGTCGCTCCTAAAAAAAGATCATGCGTAAAACCTCACTCAATGATAGACTAAAGCCTGGCGAATGCCTATGTAGGACATCTAACGAGCGATCCATCGTTTTCTTGTCATATCTACTGTAAGGGGGTAATAGGTTCCGATGTTTGTATTCAATTAACGTATCAATCATGACTTCAGTTTCATTAGCACTAATATTTAGAATCTTCATCCCTACGTAACACAATTTCAGCTACACATTAGATGCATCAATCAAAACATAAATATACAAGTACGTATTGCTCAATATGGTAAAATAAAACAAACAAGTGATTTCGTTATACATTGAAATGCAATCTCAACCTCATTGTAGGAATCATAGGACTTGTAAAGAACACTAGGAAATATATGCACATATACATGACCCTTTGGCCATGAATGGTAAATACCAACCAGTCACCCTACAAGTACAACATACCATCGTTCCCACCTGTGTATTGCTACTGACACCATGACATTGCTTGTTAATGACCAAAACTACAAAATAGTCTATATGCAACTAACATATAAATGACCAATTAAACAAGGCAAACACTTACATATATGTCTCCATACACCACATAATATTACAATAAACAACAAGTTCAACAAAAAAGGGAAGAGATTGTTTTTAATGGTCCGTCAACTTACACACGACCATCTTCATCAAGTACGAGGTGTGTTCCACAAAAGTCCTCCAACCCAAGTAGGACGTTCATACTCAGGCAAGAAAAAAAAGATATCAACATTTGCAGGGTCTGAACAAATAATCTTAAGGGCAACATATCGATCCACCGTGGACAGACCATTTATCTTCTCTAGTTCGGCATTTACTTTCCTACATGCATCAGCAACATCGTGATTATATCCAACACAATGTGCTATCATGTATAGTTGATTTCGACAATCATGCACGTAGTCAGCAAACACCTTTGTTATATCCGACAAACTCTTAGCTACTGACTTAACCACATTACCAGTCACTTTTGTTTTTTTTCTCTTACTTGTCAATGGAGTTCCAACACTGGGATGAACACCAACATTTTGTCCAATCGGATTATTCGCACTATGTGAGGCAGGGACATCCTCGTCAAAATTCGCCAGTCTATCTATGTTATCGGTTTCATGCATAGAAGCTTCCACCTCAGCATCGCCCACCATGTCTTCCAAATCCCGCATACTCTTTAGTGGCACAGTCCTTACCAAATATCACTCCCCAATCGTTGAAGTAAGGCCATGACTTCTCATGCATATCTTTAGCGTTTCTATCCTTCTACACAAGTACACATTTAGGCAATAAATTCCAAGAAATATAATTTTGTTTCCAAAACACAATAAATTATATGTATTACTTCACCTTCAAGTAGTCTTTCCAGATGTCATCACCATCAACTATAATCTTATTCTCGGTGGAATTAAAACCAAATCCGGAAGTGGCCATCA